TATATATATATAAATATAAATATATAAATATTGTATAGTCATAGCCTCCTCTATGCTACTGCTAGTATGCATCATCAGTTCTTAAGACTGTTTCTGTCTTAAGTTCCTTCTCTCTGAGATCTTACTTTAATTTTATTTTAAGGTTAATGTAAAGCTCCTTTACCCTTTTTATGTTGTGCCTTGTCTTGCTGTGATACTACACTTCTTTCCCCCTGTTTTGGACCATCCAATCCTTCTGAAGTGGGGAAAAATGCCTTCTTTCATTTGGCTATTGTAGTCTGCTGTTTGCTCCAAAACACACCGTCTCCTCTTGCTCTCTCCTCCCAGCTTCTCCCACACCTGTTTTAAAGTTGCACGCTTTATTGGCAACTCCGCTCCGTTAACGCTGGGGGAAAGGCTCAAATCGGAGGAAAAGAAAGGCAGTCCAGGCGCCTGCAATTTCGCTAAGCAGCCTGTCCGTCTGCAGGCCTCCATGGCCTCTGCCAATTCTTTTCTCTGCTGCAAAAATTGCCACACGTCCATCGAGAGTCAAGCCCAACTCAAGACAGAGTCTGAACCACCAAAGCAACTGCTCGAATTGATCGCAAGTTCTCAGGAGGTCCGACAGAGGAAGTCTTCCAACTACCACCACCACCCACTGCCCCAGCCTGTTAGGTGACAAGGTGGAAAATAAATCTTTTTTTTTTCTTCTGTACTATCTTGAATGCCAGTGCTCTGTTTCTGAAGGAGAGTACTTCCGCCTCTTCTTCTTCCAGGACATCGAGAATCCAAATTCGGTTTAATCCCGGCTTTAAGCACACACACACACACACGCCGTGTCCTGCCTTTCACTCTTGACCCGCGTCCACATTAAACCTGGCGCATTTTGCCGGCCTCCCTCTTGTCGCAACCCCACCAAGGGGAGCAGAGCGTTAAAACCTCTCGCCCGTAATGCCGCTTCCGACCTCGAGATGGCGCTCTTTTCTTCTCCTCTTCCCGGTGTTCAACTTCCAAATCCCTGTCCGCAAAACTCTGGGACAGAATTGCGAGGGGGAGACGGAGGTTCACCGGACTTGTTGATCTCCGTTAAGAAACGAGGGGAAAAACAACAACAACAACAACAACAACAGAGAAGGGAGAGGAATTGCCTGGAGGAAGTGCTGCCCGGCCTCTTGATTCTCAGGGAGCCCGGGAACCCGTCCACACGTTCGGTGTGGATTTGAAGCTGAACCCCGGGAGTTCCGAAGACCCATTGGAGGCCTGATGGGTTATTTTTCCTCTCTCCTCCGCCTCCTCAACGATCTACCTTTCGGGAACGAGCTGTAGACTTTGGGGGACGCGTGACGCCCCTCCCCATCTGCTCGGTTGTCCCGGGATTTGGTGCGCGAAGGGGGGTTTCCACCGCACCCCCCCCCTTCCCGTCTGCCGCCACCTTCCACTCCGCCTCCCCGACTCGCCAGGAAGATACCCGCCGTGCCCGCTTGCTGATCTCGCCCTTCTTCGGCTGAAGCAGGATGTAGCTTCTCTTCACCGATGTCCGCCTCTCCGCCGCAAGCCCGCTCCGGCGTTGCTCTGCGGTCGTGGGAAACGAAGTCAGTGGCGAGGTGAGAGACGGTGGCTGGGCGGGGGTGGGTGGGGGCGGACGGGCAGCGGGGAAATTGGGGGCAGCGGCGGGAGTGATCCCGCGATCGCTCGGCGCCGCCGTGGGGAGACGGGGATCTCGCCGCCTCCGGGGGCAACGGTTTGGCGGGCCGCGGAAAACCTGGGCTGGGAGAGGCTGGAGGGTTTCTGCTCCTCCGAAAGGATCGCTGGATCTGGTGGCTGAGGCCATCTGGGAGAAAGCAACAGTGCGAGGAAGCACGTAAGGCAGGCAGGCATCTCGGGGTTGACGGCGTTTCCAAATATATACGTATAAATATGCATACATGCACACACACACACACACACACACACACACACACACACACACACACACGTATATTTTGTTGTTATGACGACTCTCGTGAGTTATTCCCCCACCCCCACCCTGTGGTGGTAAGGAAGGATTCCTCTCCTTCCAGAGATCGTTAGAAAGATGTGCAAATCATTGTTTGCATTAGGCTAAAACTCAGTTTAGCTCCTTCTCTTCCCTACCAGGCTAGCCTAATTGCCACCTCCACCATTGCCAGGTTGTTTGGAAGCACTGAGCTGATGGCCTCACACTCCGTTTGCCACAAATGCATTGATGAACACACACACACACACACCCCTTTCCACCCTGGCTGATGCAGTTGCCTACAAATTTAAGCAGAATGTCTTCCTCCCGCTATACAGTACTAACATTTTTAAAATCCCATCTCCCCTGTTTCATGCAGGGCGTTACAGACCTTTTAATATCACACTATTCAAAAGTCTCTCTCTCCTCTCCACCCCCTGATGTTTTGTCATCCAGTGAGCTCCCTGTAGGGCAGTCTTTAAAATAGGTAACATTCCTTAACTCAGATGGGTTATATAGGGATGTTTAAAATACACATTATGGGCCTCTGTGTATGTGTGTGTGTGTGCGCGCGCGCGCGCGTGCACAACATGTGTCTGGGGGTTTGTTTTGACTGCAACCAGTTTGCCATTGTGTTGAAAAAGCTACCACTTTCAGAGAGTAGGAATATAATGCTGTGGAAGTACCCTGGTTTTCTTCTGTGTTAGATGTTCTTCATCTAGAAGGAAGGCTATGTAAGTTTTAAAAGCAAGGTTGCTAATAGATGTACTATTGTAAATTGTTAATGTCAGCCTGGGCTGCTACAAAAAGATGAGAAGCACACAGGGAGGGAGTAAAGGGGGAGATGTCCATTCTTCTTTAAATTGTTAAATATAATCTGTTCACTGTTTAAAACATAATCCGCCCCTTTAGCAAAGGAGAACTTGTTTGGAAAATGTAGCTAAATGCATAGGTGAAATGAGCAATGCTTTGATATTTTAGAACTAGTGAATACAAAATACATGCTGATATTTCAGTCTGAAAATGCATGCATTTTAGTGGATAGATGATCAGGTAGATCAATTTAAATTAAAAGATTATTGTAGTCATATCTGCAAAGCAAAAAGGCCATGGGAAAAGTGGTGTACAGTTTATGTCAGCATTATTGTAAATTCTTCTTTCCCTCTCCCTGGGAAAGTATAATGTAGCATATAATGTGTTTTCTTAAGATTGTGTACAAAAAAGTACATATCTGAATAATGGAATATACATTTTGGTGGGTCTGTGCCTGATTATTTCTTTATATTTTTATGGCATATATACTTTATGGGTAAAGATGTTTGATTTTTGGCCTTTCTTGATGAAACACTGAGAATTATATTACCTCAGGGTAGTTAACTGTCAGATCCTTTAGCTTGTTCCATAGGCCTATTTTCCTACTCATCCTTTTTCCAAAGTCCAAAGCTTCTAATGATAATAGAAAACACCCTGTCAAGAAACAAGCTTCTGCTTGGAACCTCTGCTTGTGTGTGTGTGTGTGTGTGTGTGTGTGTGTGTGTGTGTGTGTGTGTGTGAAGGAACTGCAAAAGGACAGAAAGAAGCTAACTGGCATTAAAATGACAAATGTTAACATGACTTGAATGATTGGCCCACATTATGTGCCTATCTCTTCAAACATGTCCATAAATGTATCTTAATTTTTAATCTAAAAGGATAGGTAAAAATGAAAAATGAATATGGGATGCTTTTGAGAAAGTTGAAATGAATGAAAATGGATGTTGAGCTTATGAGGATGATCTAGCTTTTCCAGAATGATACAACACAGATATTTGTGCCTTTGGGAGAAGACATATAAAGAATTTGTCTTCAGCACTTTAGGTAGTGGATAGTTCCTTACTACTAAAATGTAAGGAATTGGACAAAGTCTGTACTAAGATTTTGTTAGCTAATAAGCCCTTATTAGCATCCTCTCCTTTCAATTCACTTTCTTTAGGACTTTTTGTTCAGTTTCAGCACCATGACACTGAACAGCAGCCTGTGCTCTTACAGCCAATCTGTCTCTGCTGCTCCTTGGAGCAAACTAACCAAGCTATTTGTATATCTCCCTGATTAATTGAACAAACAGGCAGTTTGCAAACAAAGGAAGCTTTCCATTTAATTTGCTGAAGTTACCAGTAATTCTGTGCATTATTTTCTTTACAGGCATGGAGGAGCAGGAAAACAGATGAAGAGAACCTGTCTAGAACTGTGAGACCCCAGGAATCACTTGTCAACCTGTCTCAGTCTTTTTAAAAGATAAGCAATGCCTGCAGGAATGAATAAACATGGATCTCGATCTACTACCTCTTTGCCCCCGGATCCCATGGAGATTGTCAGGAGCAAAGCTTGTTCCAGAAGGGTCAAACTTAACGTGGGGGGTTTGGCACATGAGGTTTTATGGCGAACCTTGGACAGGTTACCACGGACAAGATTGGGTAAACTCAGAGATTGCAATACTCATGAATCTCTGATGGATATATGTGATGACTATAACTTGGAGGAGAATGAATATTTCTTTGATAGGCACCCGGGGGCATTTACTTCTATCTTGAACTTTTACCGGACGGGCAAGTTGCACATGATGGAGGAAATGTGCGCCTTGTCCTTCAGCCAAGAACTGGATTATTGGGGAATTGATGAAATTTATCTAGAGTCTTGTTGCCAGGCAAGGTACCACCAGAAAAAGGAACAGATGAATGAGGAGCTCAAGAGAGAAGCAGAGACCATGCGTGAAAGGGAGGGAGAGGAATTTGATAACACTTGCTGTGCAGAAAAGAGAAAAAAACTCTGGGACCTTTTGGAGAAACCCAATTCTTCTGTAGCAGCCAAGGTAATATCCAATCCATCCATTCTTGATCTGTGATAGATAGGGCTAAAAAGTTGTACCTTCCTGGTGATTGTCCCTGGCTATTTTTGATGTACAAAGAGATAAGAAAAACTCAGTGATGGTTTAGTTCTTTAAAGTCCTTATGTTTTTCAGCTTGGCAGGGAATTAGGTTCTATAATTATTTTTAATAGAGGTTTCTTTGCAACAGGTATAGAAATGGGATTGATATTGCCTTATTTTAGAAGGTTCATTCAGAATCCCGGTCTAACCTTGGAATTATGTGGAGATCTCTCACCTACTGTATATAGTAACCAGATTTAATCCTACTCAGCTTTTAGAGTCAATCAATGTCATCTAGGTATTGCTATGTAGCAATGAAGTGAAGTTGTTCAAACAAAGGCAAAAAATGCCTTCTGAAGACATCCAGTTATGTGAAAATGTGACTTAATCTCTGTTTGATTAGAATGTTGTTATACTTCCTTTCTTTACTTAGAAGGATTAGGGATTACAGCAATTTTTATATTCAATTTTCACCTTGGCAATCTGTAAACCTTGTTTTGCTTCCAATAGATTCCATTACTATCTTTTTCTAATTCTAAATCCCCCACTCCCTTCTAATATATTTGTGCAGGTTTTGATGATTTCAATGTAGAGGAAGTCAGAAACCTCTACAAATTCCAAGCTGCCTCTTACTATGGCTGGGTGTAGTTTGAAGATGATTCTGAAAAGGTGCTGTAAATAGATAGATCCTTCCATATCAGCCAGAAAAAAGCAACTATTTTAAGGAGTTTCCTTCGAGTAATTGACTGCATCATTGGCAGCCCTTTACAATAGGCCAGGTCAGAAAACAGACACCCTATTGATTACAGGAATTTGACTTTATTGTTGTACACCATAATAACAGAACCTTGAAAACCTGCCAATTTACCTTTGCCCCCGCTTATACCAAATAGAATCAAAGCAGAGTTGTTTTGAATTTCTTCCTCACGTTCTCTCCTTCCTCAGAATTAAGTTGTCATGTATTTTCTTTTAATGGTTCTCCTAATGACTATTGTATTCCTATATCAAGGTTATCTCTGCACCCCATTATACTCAATTGACATGGTCGAGAATTCAGTTAGGACTATGCTTGCTTTGAAAGTGATTCAAATAACTACTTCAGAGTTTGCAGAAGTATCGCATCTCTCTATTACTAATTAAAGCAGCCACAGCTTTTTTGGGTGTGTGTGTGCACATTACATGAGCCTAAAAAAATGCCACAGGTATAAGGGGTCAAATCATTAAAACAACTTGTTTTTTTCATACTTAACATGGAAGCCCAGAGAAAGACATCATTGTTTCAATGAATACCAAAAAAAGGCCCCAAATGCTTCTTCCAAACAGGTTTTCAAGGGTGCATTGCTCTACCCTTTATACAGATTGCATTGAGGCCACCAGACACATTTCTTTCATAGGTGCTCAAAAATTATCCCAATTTTTAAAACCAAATTTTTAAAAAATATATCTCGAGATCCCACTTGATAGAAAGCTGGCCTGGCTGGTCTTTTGGCTGAGGAATGAACTGTTGAAGACTGTCAGCTAAAAAGATACTCCTTTAGTCTTTTTAGCTGCCAGAAAAAGAGAGTGTGGGAAAACAAGGCATTCTTGAAATGCCTAGATATCAACTCAGCAGCCTAAAGTTGTCAGAGCATAAGAAGGTTATTGGAGAGCATGATGGATGACTCTTGGAGACTGATGTGTCCTATTGGAGAAGTCACATCCAGCGGGTGGAGGAAAGACCAGGGTTAAGGAGGAAATGTATGATGTGATTTAGTACCAACATGGCAATTTCTATTAAACCAATTTACTTTTTCTGAGATGCGGCTAGAGACTTTTGCTTTAAATGAGGGGGATTTGTTGGAGCCCTGACAGCCAGCCGGTACTAATTCTGGAGTCCCATTGCTGCTTCACAGTCTAAGTGAAACCACAACCAAAAATGAATAGTACAGGCGGCTGGCTGTGAGAAGAGGACAGACATTCAGAGAGGATGGCTTTTAGCAGAGCTCCTACTTTTCCTGTAAATTATCCCAGGTTCCACCCTTGGCATCTCTGTTTTCAAAGAAGATTGGGCAACAGTGGCTAAACAACCTGAAAAGCCTATGCCAAGCATAGACTGAAGGTGCCTCTTTTAACCTTAGAAGATCAGATAGCCAACAGAGCCTTGGGTTACATTTCTAGAATCTTCCAAAAGTTCTTGCCAAATTATGAGGAAGGGGAAAACTATTTAGCACAAAATCTTGTTACCGTACTTGCATTTAACTAATTGCGATTACATTGTAGCAATTAATTCATTGAATTCCAAATGTCCTTAGTAGGGAACCTTACCTTTGTCTGATTTTTCATGACGTGTAATCATTTCAAAATCATTTATAAAGTGCAGTGGAGCTGAGCAGACCTAGATATGTGTACTGTAGCTTTGTTCAAGCCCTCAAAGATTTGTATACACATACAGTTCTTCCAAGTTAGAACTTCTAATAACAACTTTTCATATCCTATCCTTAGGAATTTGCACCCAATATTCATGCAAACGACATCATTTCTAAAAGGATACCAGATACCAGTTTGTATAAAAAAAATTTCTGTTAAGAATACCTAGAAACAATCATTCAATCCTCTCTTGTGTTTGAGATAGAAATATTAACTTACACTCCTTTATATATAGGTAATATAGAACGTATGTATCAAAGGATACTGCAATTATCTGTATTTGGACCACAGCAAAATGCAACCTGAAAAGCCATATTTTACATTCATTTCCTTATTCTTTCTTCCATGGAGAAGGGGGGGGGTACATGCTGAAAGGATTAATGCTAAAAAAAAATCACTATCCTACTTGGCAGCTAATTAAATATTTCATGCTGTTATAGAAGCTACATGTTACCACTAGCAACAGCATGCCTGCAAAGAAACTGGGCACAAATATGGAGACTAATACCGGCAACATATAATTATTAAAATTGGCAAGTATTAAGATGGTCAAATATCAGGCTCTTGTAGAAAAGCAAGGATTTTGAAATAGACTTCAGGGTAATCCAGGAGATTCTTGGAAGCTTATCAAGTATCACTCTAAGGCTGAATTTGCATAACCCGTTAGGCTAAGTATTAGACATGCTGTGGTTCTGCATTTACTTGTTTAGCAGTGTTTGTAGCCTGTCCAATTCTGGAGGTCTCTGGTGGCACACTGCAAAATAAAGAGCATAGAAATGTGTAATTATGAAACCCCAAAATTAAATGTAGATGAACACCCCCATTCAAAACTACAAAGGCCCATGGCTACACTGATATAATACAGCCTGACTTGCTTATAGAATATTAACAAGGTGAGAGTTGCATGTAGGTCCCTAAACTGGGGTTGCCACAAAAAAGACCCATATTCCAAAAACCTGATAGGTAGGGTCTTTCTAGATGACCAGAGCTGTTATGGCAGAGCATATTGTATAAGCCATAATCTAATTTTTTTGATTGTATATAACATGTCATTTAAAGATTGCAGGTGTTCAGTTAACCTACTAGGTTTAGGATTTAACATGTGATCTGATCATTGTGGAGATCATTTATTCATTCACTAAGAGTTGGGAATAGCTTGATGGCACTTAATTAATCAATTAATCAAGGAACTCTGTCTCAGTTTCCAATGATAGAAGCAAAGAAACTTTTTTTTCCTGGCTGGATTCCCGCAGTATGCTTAACTAGGTCAGTGAGAGATCTGGCAGAAAAAGAGTCAACTTAAGTGTTACCTGACTCCAGACTGACTCTGGAGATGAGCAAGGTGGGAAATCTGGCCAAACAACGTTAAAACATACACAAAACACAACTGGCAAAAGATTCTGTTCTCCCTTGGTCCAAGGCTTGGGAGTACAGAGAGTGCTTTATGGCTTTCCAGGATTCCACTGGGGCTCAAATAGAGGTTTTGTATGTATATATGTGTTTATTTTTGACTTAACATGTTGTCTAAACAGAGCCCATTTAGTGGGTTAATGATTCAGTGTGTTGTGCTAATATATTGCACTACTTGAGTTAAGCATGATTTGCTAATGTGGCTATAGTCTCAACCTGTTAGGTGAGGATTGGTAATACTGAAGGTCAAAGCATTCCATGGTGTTAGAAGGTTACCCAGGTACATCTATAAAGGTGAAGTGGCAAACTCTTCCATTCTGAATTTTTTCCTGTTTGCCATATAGCTCTGCTCTGCTATCCACTATCTCTATTCCTTTCCATGATGCATCAAGAGAGATCTAGGGATTCCACTGAGTTAAGAAATGATGGTGTTGAGATCCAAGCAGATTTGCCAATGTCTTGGGAAGAACAGCTTGCATCCCAGAGGCAGAATTTGACTATGTTACTTAAAAGCTTTTTGCCAGACAGATGAGTTCAGTGTTTTGTGTAGAGTGAAAGCTGGAAAACCAATGCAAGCCAAAAAATAGGTCTGAAAGTTGAACTGGTTCTCTCAGTCCCTACCACCAGTCAATGGAGTCTTTTTCAAATACATTTCAATACATTCATGTGAAAAGCCTACAAAGCATTTTGGGAACTGAGATTCTTCGACTTGACAGGACAATATTGAAAGAAAGAGTTGTTTTTCTTTGCTTAAATTTCTGGAAGTCATGTCAAAGATTTAGGGGTCTTTGGCGTGCATTAGGAAAATAAATGTTGACATGTTTATTTTGCACTGTCGCTGGGTCCCAAACTGCCTTTGCTTCTATTTCAGATGGCGTTACACTGCATCTGAATAATAAGATCTTCTCTGACATAGTATCAAAATCCATTAGAAGCTCCTTACATTGTATTGATTTACTGTATATAAGGATGATCTTCCTTGCCAAAATGTCTTTTGTGATTTATATATTATATCCAGGTTTGTCTTTAGGAACAGACAATCCAGCACAAATGCATTTAGCAATTGAAGACATGCATATCAATATCATCATTCATCATTATTTTAACCATTGTCTATCCCAGGTCTC